AGAGAGAGAGAGAGAGAGAGAGAGAGAGAGAGAGAGAGAGAGAGAGAGAGAGAGAGAGAGAGAGAGAGAGAACTCGAAAGGGAGTGGCCTAGCTTCAGGAAGTGACCAAAAAAAGACATTTTCAGATGCTTTCTAAGCAACAGCAGCATTCCAAAAAAGGACATTTTCAGGCCGCTTGGATTTTTTAAGTATAATATAAGGAGCTTTGAGCCTTTGATAAGCCTGGGAATCCGAATTCTCTTCTCCCTGTTTACCTTCTTTCTCAGGCCACTTGTTCCAGTCTTCTGGCCTTCAATGGGAGATGTGGGAACCAATGAAATCTGCACAAAGAGGAAATTTGAAAGTACAAGGAGAAAAAAAAAAAAAAAAAAAAAAAAAAACAAGAGAAGGAAATTTTGGAGTCAGCACAATGTGTGTGCACATCTCTTTCTTTCTTTATTTATTTATTTATTTATTGATTCTTTTCCCCATTAATATCAACGTGATAATGTCCGAAATGCCGAAAACAGAAGAATGCCAAAAAAAAAACAAAACTCTTACAGAACCAACAAGACTACTAAATCACAAGCTCCGTCCTTCCGGACATTCGTTAAAGTTGGAACGATACAGAAAAGGGTAAATTAGCAAATGGCCCCTGCCCAAGGCTGACACACAAAAATCGAGAAACGGTCCAGCAAAAAAAAAAAAAAAAAAAAAAAAAAAAACTTACAAGCTGCATTCTGATCAACAACAACCTTATCCAAGATTAGGGGCCTCGCTGCACTACTCTTGAAAGGTGCAAAACGAGAGTGAATCTTCCGCTATAACATGGAAAGATACAGCGACATGATTTTTGTCTTTTGTGCATTTCAAGAGTAGTGCAGCGAGGCCCTAGATCCAACCACCGGTCCCTCTGGGCCGAGGTCCCAATAGCAAAAAGGATCGGATCGCGCTCCTGAATCTGGACGTGTTTTAAGCACAGATGCAGAAAAGCAGTTCAATCTCGATTTCCTGCGCATCTCCATAAACTCGTCCAGATTCAGGCATCCGATCCGATCCTCTTTGCTAGTGGGACCACGCCCCTGATGAGCTTCTTTGTCCCGACTCTCTCAGTCTCGCCGTGCGACGTGCGGTTGTGTGTTTGTCTGAGTACGCTGTCTGTCTGTGCTTCGAGTACCTCTGTCTGTCTGTCTTTTTTTTTCCTTCTTTTTTTTTTTTTTTTTGAAGGATGAATGAATGAATGAAAGAAGTAGGACATCTTGTTTCCGTCT